CCCCCCCCCCCCCGAGTACACTTACTTGGAGTGAGTCTAACTTATTATTCTGATCTGTGAAATGGTGCTTAATTTAATTGCTAAATTGCTCGAAAAATTCTGTATAGAGTGTCATGTAAGGTAGTTCATATCCTTTAATTTTGAGGACTAGACTTGTTGAATATGTCATTTGGTGCAGAGAAAGAGCTGGGTCCAAGGGACTTATATAGCAGTGGTGCAAATTACGAAAAACTGAGCATTGTTTGTGTGAAATTATTTACTAGCTAATCCAACATTTTTTAAAAAATATTTGCATGATTTATTTGCTTGTCAAATTTTGAACACTCCTTTTTAAGTGTTTTGAGGAGAACATAGCATTTTGATATGTAAGGCTTGAGGATGTGATAGAAAATTACCAGAACACCCAGGACTTGAGCCCATCAGTTGAATACAGAAATGACCTTGTGGGACTTTAATACTTATTTTTGCAATAGTGTCACTTGTAGAAGTGAACTTGTGGGCCTGTCTAGGGCTTACAAGTCAGGGCAGTTACCAGCCTCATTGTGAGTGTCTTTCATCTTCCCACCCCCAGGCAAGTTCTAGGGATAGGGAAATGTAAGAGACTGGGAATGAGGTTGGGCTATTACTAGGTATACAAGTAGTTTTGAGAATGTGTACAAAGGTGTTTTGAGCCACCTTAAATTGAAAAAAGTTTCGAGATGCTAATTGCATCCCTGCCAGTCAAACAACACAAAACTAAATTTAACAGCTGGTAGGTTGTACCTTTATGCATCTTTTGTTTTTGCCCTTCCTCCAAGGGGGGGAAGGATGGGGGTGTACCAGGCATTTTGCAAGGAGGAAAGAGTAGGGTGAGGGGGTGGAGGATGGACTGTAGGTATCTTCAGTTGTTGGCTAATGTATTTGTACTTGGTAAACACATAATGTCTTTTAAAGTGCAGTTTGACCTCCATTTAGTGCCACCTAATAAGAGGCCAGCAATCAAAGTCATGACAAGTCATGATTTTTCTATTTGATTCTCAGTCTCAAAATGACTTTTTAGAACATGCTGACAGTTTATTGGTTGGAAGGGATGTGTATTCTGTGGGAAAATTCAGAAGAGGCTTCAATGAGAAGAACTTAGCTAATTTCGCAAAACTGTCGTGCACTATTGAACTTAGACTTTGCGCCAATGCTACATTAGGGCGTTTGTACTTTTTCTGTATTACACGGTGACTTTGGAGGCTCGAAGAGTTTTCAAGCATCTTACAAATGTACACTCAGTTAGTTATGCTGTCCATGGAAATTGAGAAACAGATTGTTTTCCATACTAATAACTTAGCCTCCTTTAGAAAGAAATGGGCTACTTTCAAACAATGTCCATCAGAAAAATAATTTAATCTACTGGTAATCAACAAAAATTAATAAAGTGCAAGTAAAAGGAGGGCAGATGGGGAGAGAGGACCAAAAGGCAGGCAGCCTTCTTGTGATTGTCATTGTAGTCCTTTTTTGTCTTTGTTTTTGTCTTCTATTATTTCTCTTTTTTTCCCTTTTGATAAAATTGTTAGCTAATGTAAAGTAACATTAGTAACCGAGAAGTAGGCTTAATTGTAATGAATTTTAACTGTTTGTAAAGAGTAAAGGGGAAAAACGTTTTCAAGTACTTGCCAGGAATTTTGGTTGTTGATCTTGTGCAAGCTTATGGGTTCCTGGTGCATGTGATAAATCATTATGTTCACCTTAATTCTGTGATATGAAGAACGAAATTTTCATTCTCTCTTTCCGTTTTAGACGCCATCGATGTCCTCATGAAGGTGCCAGCCCAAACCGAATTGTTAACAAGTCCATGCAGGATCGGTGTAACGTGAACTCCGAGTACAAAACAAGTTACAAGCCGGGAGAACGAACCAGGGGACCTTTTCACCGTCCAACCGATCTACTTCACAGCAAAGGAGACTTAGAAAAAGAAACAACCCAAAGGCTTGATTTTGTCCCGTTTGAGGTTAGTCCTCCAAAGAAGAAGGAACCTGAGAAGTACTTTCCTAACCCAAACCCGTTTGAAACCGTGTCGGAACACCGGGATCACTATCGCGGGGTCCGTGCCAAAGCTGCTAAAATACCCCCGTACCTTCGTGGGGAAACCATGCGTGCCCCTTCAGCAAAAGTGGTGTACAGATCTATCGCGCATGACGATTACAAAGGATGGACGCCAGAAGTGCACCGTGTGACGCGTAGTAACTCGTACGCGCCGCCTACTGACCCGTTTAGAGAGACATCTATCCACCGGCAGGACTACCAAAGGTTTAATCAGCCACCGCGCCCTACAGCACGCCAGCCAGACAAGATCAGATATGAAGGTCCTCTATCGTCCACTACCAATTACAGAACGGACTTCAAGAATAAGGAGATACCGCAGAGATTTCAGCGCAAACCTGAAGAGCGTGTTCCGCCAGCAGAGCCGTTCAACAGCAACTCGGTTTTCAAAGAAGATTTTGTGGATCTACGCGGTGCGCCAAAGGCTCCCATATTTAACCCTAAAAGCGATCTGTTTAAAACCAACCAGCCCATGCAGCAGATGACAACCAAAAGAGAAGATTATAAGACTTGGGAGGTATCACCGCGCAAGCAACATGAACCGGAGAAATACAAAGCTCCAGATGGAACCATGGACTGTCAGACAACACACATGGATTATGCGAATTTTGGAAAGAAAGCTATTCCAGCCCGTACCGCAAGACCGCGTACCAAGCTACGATTTGGACGAGAAGAAGCGCTCGATGATAAAACCAACTACGGCTTGAGCTTCAAATGGTTCTACGAACCTATTGTGCATTCAAAGGGCCCAGGAATTAAGAATGAAATATTTCCCCCAGTCCAAGAGAAGAGTCCCGAGAAGTCGGAATTCCTTGATAAATATAAGAGGTTTAATGTAATACCCCCCAGGATGTTTCGTGACAGGAGTGCCCTGTTCAAGACTTCGGAGGCACTGGCCAAGGATACGGTATACGATGATGACTACTCATGGCCCCAGGTCACGTGTCCATCGGAAGCGCTAATGAAAGGAAAAGGAACGTTTGTGTTTGATCATGAAACTGAGATGGGACATAAAGTGTATTCATTGGCTGGGAAATCACATAGTTCTGACATCGCAGTAGCATAGCGCATCTGCGAATGAACAATTCCTCGATTTTTCCGTGAAATAGGATTGATTTTAAATAGACTGCAAAACAACCGATATTTCTGCGATCACTCGGTGTCTAACGAAAGGTCTGCTGTTGGGGACTAGTGCAATCACCAAAATGACGCAATAGAAAAGATTGAAAAGTAACAGAAAAGTACCCACACCAAAAAACAAGGGATCATTATACGTTTCTGGGAAACTGCCCACCTACCCCTCCCTAAGCCAATATTAACACTTTCTTCTCACTCAGGGCAGAATGTTCGCTTGGGGGAGGGGTAGGTGGGCAGTTTCCCAGGAACGTATAGTGAAAAAAAAGAGTGAGCCAACAATAGTTTCCGCAACACCAAGAAAAACCCAAAGGTCTGGAGCGAGTGTGAATACGGAGCCCCGCGCTTTCGGCGCCTTGCGCCTCTGATCAGCTTTAAGGGAAAGAAACCGACTGTTTTGCAGCCTAGATTTTAAAATAAACAATTCATAATATTCCACACGAAATATTTTGTACTGGAAAAAGTTTCAAAGTGTACAAAATTGTTTTCAGTTAGTTTCAGATTATTTTTGCAGCGGTGAATTTGATATATTGAGACACCAGGATAAGGAGTTCTCTAGTTTGAAAGTAGTTTCTGAACCCAACAGCACTCGTTCGCTGCAGGTCATTACCATACTCCGGCCTTGTCACCAAACCTCAAGGCGCATGAAAGGCTGGGAATGCTGTGGAATCACGATATGATGGGTTACATGTACTGGTATTTCCAACCTAAATGTATATTTGACTAGTCTAATAAGCCATTGTTTTGTGAGAAAAGTGGAGGGTATAGTTCAGCTGTTGTATTTTCAGCAATACGTGCTTTGGTTTTAATTGTTCATAACGAAAAGAAGTGTTCCAAATCGAAAATAAAATTTTATAAATCTTTGTAATTATCGTTGCCGACTAATACTCTACATCATGTCAGTTTAGAGGGACTCGTCGATGCATTATTTAGTAAAGGAAGTGCTGTCATTTTTTTAAAATTGCCAGGTGAGTTTTTTTTTTTCCGAACGAGAGGATTATATACTAAACAAACTGTGGTGCTTCCTCGTTCGGGAGTAAAACAGAAAAGAAATTGATAGCGGCAGTTCCCATGAGGAGAATTAATGCCACTCCATTGGAGGAAACAAGTGTGGTCTGCACCATACTGCTGCTAACAAACTTTCCACGCTCATCCAGTAGGCCTGTATGGGTTGACTTCCACTGTGGCGTAATTTTTACGTGCGTACGCGCGTAAATTTTACGAGCGTAAATGAGATAAAGGCAATGTATGAAAGGCCACGCGTAAACGTGAAAGTTGAGCGACGTTCAACTTTTACGTTTACACGCGACACTTCATACATTGCCTCTAGTTTATTTACGCGCGTAAAATTTACGTGCGTACGCACGTAAAAATTACGCGGCAGTGGAAATCCACCCTATGGCTTGGCCTACTATTGAAACGTATTACAACCGTTTGGCAATCTTCCGAACAATCCGCTCATATGTCTTGACTTGATCCACTTAATCAGCCTCTCTACCATTGAAGCTTTCACTCTACTATATGTCATGCGCAGAAGGCACAACGCTCTTAGTAACAGTAAACGTTCGTTTATTCAGAGGCAAAAATATTTATAAGCTTTCCTTAAAAAGATGCTCAGGAGTAAAAGGAACTTTTTCGGTTCACATTTAGGAAGTCGCCTTATCCAGAATTAGACGACGTTTAGTCCTCTTGCGTCATACATGGAATATTTTCCTAAACGCGTCCTTACTGTTCTGTTAAATAAATATAATATTCATTTTTGCAAATTTTAAGCAAACTAATTTAGAGTTATTATTCACTTATTATTATTAGCGGCATGTATTGCAACACCAGCGAGAATAAATGGGACACATTCCAATTTTCTTGACTCTCTGACAGTATCTCACTTTGTCCACGCAGTTCTCTGAAAAGCAATGAAGGAAAAAAATACAGATCTCTTACAGTTAACCAATTCATAGCAATTTTGTTGAGCAAAATTGCTGATTATTGAGCAAGATGTTGATTAATTATTATGATGATAACGATGGTAGTGATCAGGCGAGACCTCATCAGTAGGAAGAAAGGCCAGAGTGGCCCCCCAAAAAGCAAGAAACAAAGAGAGTGTAAAAACATTGAAGGAGCTAGCTGTGTCACGGTTGTATAGTTCATTTTACATCGCCAGTTACGCGTCCTTATGTGCTATGTACCATGCAAAAATGACAAAATCTCAGCTTTAGGTCCGGCAATAAGTCTCCCAAGCATTAAATCAATCGTTGCCAACAACAAAAAATGAACTTTGAAAAACTTTTAGGATAACAAGTTTTCAAAAACCACAATATTGCAATCCGTTTCAATCTTTTCAAGTTTGTCCATCCTTGCCTACTTTGGTATTTACTGTGTCACTCATACCTTGTTTTAACTATTAGAGCGGTTACCTTTGATGTTCCACTCAGTGTGGTGGCAGTTGCCACTGTTTGAATTTTGATCAATCTTGTGACACAGCTCCTTTAAGTTTACTGCATTTGCGCACCAATCTGATAGACACTTACCTCTTGCACAAGTTTTCCTGTTACATGGCTCCTGGAGGGAAGGTTTTTCTTGCCAACCACACTGACCATTGGCTGGCTTCAAGCTTTTCGCAAACACACACTGCACATAACGAAGCTTGACTCCGTGTGATCCGCACGAACGGGAACACTAGCAAAGGCATAGGAAATAAAGAAAATATGATGATACAAAAAGAGAGTAGAATATATTAAAAGAATACAGTGAGGTCTTTGATTTAAAACAGGGACAAAGATCAGATTCTGAAAACTGCTTGAGTAGTCCTTTACTGGCTAACCCAAATTTTTGCCCTTGGTGAGAAATTATCACGTGCTTAAGCAATGAAAACGTTCCTTTACCTCAAACACTTTTTTAATGGACATCATGGAGACATCACAAATAGTTAACGAAAATCTCTCTCAACAATCAAACCATACTTAGGTAATGTGTGGTAAGCGCACTTTCCGAATTTTGACTCCGCCCTACCCACCCACCCTCGCCACCTTCCACCAATTCATGGCCTGGATAGGTATCCATGACAACAGATCCTTAATGAAGGATATCTACAGCTAGACTTACCGCTGACCAAGCTGTTGTGCGCCAAGTCACATGACAGTTCCTGTGAGTACAGCGCCGGCGTTTGGCTGGTTTATGCCTGTGTACACAGTGCTGCTCTGTTACAACCTTACCCATCCGATCCACACAGCTGATGTGCCTCTCTTGCCAGCCACGGAGATGTGTTATACAGTTACCACACTAAAAATACATGGACATGAGGAATCAGACAAAGAATTATAAATTTGACTCAAGGTAACGGAAACATTACGTTTTCACGTCTAACCTTGTTACACTGACACCCCCNACTGGCTAACCCAAATTTTTGCCCTTGGTGAGAAATTATCACGTGCTTAAGCAATGAAAACGTTCCTTTACCTCAAACACTTTTTTAATGGACATCATGGAGACATCACAAATAGTTAACGAAAATCTCTCTCAACAATCAAACCATACTTAGGTAATGTGTGGTAAGCGCACTTTCCGAATTTTGACTCCGCCCTACCCACCCACCCTCGCCACCTTCCACCAATTCATGGCCTGGATAGGTATCCATGACAACAGATCCTTAATGAAGGATATCTACAGCTAGACTTACCGCTGACCAAGCTGTTGTGCGCCAAGTCACATGACAGTTCCTGTGAGTACAGCGCCGGCGTTTGGCTGGTTTATGCCTGTGTACACAGTGCTGCTCTGTTACAACCTTACCCATCCGATCCACACAGCTGATGTGCCTCTCTTGCCAGCCACGGAGATGTGTTATACAGTTACCACACTAAAAATACATGGACATGAGGAATCAGACAAAGAATTATAAATTTGACTCAAGGTAACGGAAACATTACGTTTTCACGTCTAACCTTGTTACACTGACACCCCCACGGCATGGACAATCAGACCTCTATGACAAAAGTTTCCTTAGTTTCAAAGACTAGCACTAAACATTAAAGTTCCCCGCGCTATAAAATGTAGCCTCTACAACAAGCGATATTGAGGGCGCTCAGGCGGATTTTGCGGCGAGGTCACATCTCATCTCGGGCCTCAATAACTCCTGTTAGTTGTACAGGCTATATAGCATAAGTGTAACATTTTCTCGGTCTAAAACAGAAGAGATGTAAAACTTACCTTGCTCCAGGTTGTAGCTTTCCATTGTCCTACAAAACAATAACGGGCGATTAGTTTTTTTATGTTCCGATTAGCTCTAGCCGAATCTAAGCCCCAAATTGATTGCTGGGCTTCTAAGAGATGAAGAAATTGCGGCGCGTTGTACAACCTCAAAAAGTCAAGGAATAGTGCGTAAAATGCCTGAATATGTACACACTGTACGAGGTCATGAACACATCAACTTCCCGCAAATTACATGTCACCAAAGATTGAGCATTATTTACGTTTCATATCTTCTTCAAATTTAACTGTCTGCTTTATTTTTGGGTGTGAACGACCGATTAAGAAAAAGCACGTTTTATGTAAAATGCAAAGACGACTAATGCTATTAGGATTAAAAATAGGAATTAGAAAATACTAACCGACCGCCAGATTTTTAACAGTAAGCCGGACAGATCCTTGATCCTTCCCAACAGCATTTGTCGCAACACATTTGTAGTGTCCAGACTCCTTAATATCAACCTGGCGCACCAGCAAAACACCATTGGGAAGAAGTAAATGTCTAGTGTCATTTCTAATCAACACTCTGTTTTTGGTCCAGGTGATGTGTGGAGTGGGCTTTCCAACCACCGTACACAACAATATTAGATTGTAACCTCTTTTGACGGTGAGGGAAGAAATAGTATTTCTCCTAACAGCCGCATGAGCCATTGCATAACCCTCGATTCCTTGGCCGTGCATGATGTACCT